ACTTTTCTGGAAGTATTGCTGCACTCTGCACAACAGGAGTAATGCTGCACTCTGCTCAACACAGAGTGCACTGCATAGTCCAATATTTGTATGTATAATTCTTCCTGATTTTACATCTTGCCAAAAAAAAAAAAAGTTTTTCTTCAAAAACCAATCATGTCCAACAACATTCAGATATTCAGACATTTCATGACATTTCTCTCTTCCTGGAGAAAGGTCTTTCTGTAGCATCTCCAAGAAGTTTATTCATGTAGACACTTGTTCAATCATACATCTTGTCTTCTTTCAGTGCTCACCCAATTAAAGCTTCTGTTGTGATTATAATAAAGAAGTACAAGGATTATGGAAAGAGGAGGTAAACTGCCAGTATGTTTACTTTTCTTGTCTTCTTATAGAGAGCTTTTTAAAAAAAAAAAAAAAATCTGCTCCAGGATCCATCTATTATCAGATGCAAACAGGTAAAGGCAATCATTGATTGGAAGGCAGAGACAAGTGATGATTGGTCAACTTGATTAGCAAACATCTGGATATTCCCTCCCAATTGAAGCGGACAGAACATGGTGTTAATATCCGAACACAATAAAGGTACAAGCAGAGTGATTTGGCTACATTTTAAACTGAAATAACAAGGCTTAGATAATGGATAGTTTTCTGGAAATGCCCGTAATCTGTGAACAGGTTTCTCCATTTGACAGAAATAACTGTGAGGCAGTAGGAATTTACACTGGATAATGAGGAATCCTAAACTTTTGGCTCCTTTTCCTTTCTGCCTAAGATTTATTTTTAAACTTCTGGCTTCCAAAATACAGTTTGAAAGTTGAAAACGAAACAAAAAGAAAGGAAGGGTGAGGAGACAAATGCTAATATTTTTGCCCTTGATGCAGACTTCCGAAAGTAACATTAAAGAGTATCACTTTATAATGGTTGTTGCTTGTCCCTAATTGAAACCTGTAATTCCACTGCAGATATAACAAGAAATACTTAATCAAACCATATCCTGTTGTGCAAAATTGAGATCCAGGTTCACAGCTTATCCCTAAACAAATTCAGTGTGGCATGGGAATCCAAGCTCTGAACTGAGGCTTTGTAATTAATGTTGCCATCTCCTTCAGGTTAGCTGAGAAATTGGGCTGCCACTGTTAGCAATTTCTAAAGAATGGCAGGGTAGCTCATTTTCCAAGCTCCCTTTTGGATATCAAAGTAGGTTACCCCATATGGTTCCTTATTCTTTTACATTTGTAGCATTTTCCTGAGGAAGAAAAACTTAAGCATGCTTTCTCGAAATTTCACTGAATGCCAGCCAACAACCTTCTGTCAATTTCAAAGGACGTTCAAAATGACAAAATGTGACTCTCCTTGGAGCAAATTACCTGTGGGTTACTGTAACTCTGAAAAATCTATCAACTCAATAAAGCAGCATATATGCTTTTGCAGTGTTCTGTCAGTAAGCAAAGGGAAAATGACATATATCTGTTTTCTACCACTGAATGGCATTTCAAACCAGGGCCTTTTATTTATCAATTTTTGCAAAAATATAGAGATCTACATTTTTAGTAACTACACTTATTATGTGAATATTATTTTGATTGCATTTCTTCCCTTATATTAGACAATGAACTCTAGATGGCAGCATAGATGAGTGGATATTGAATGTTTGAAAAAAAGCTCTTTTGCTCCAAGCAAGTGCATTCAAACATATGCTGATAGAATTTTCTCCCTTTATCATTAGGCATCTTTTTCTTTTTTTATTTCTGTATTATTTTCCCCCCTAAACATACAGTAAAAATCCAAGGGATTTACCATTTAAATCTCGAAACCTATGACTGCCTATGGTGGCTTGATAAAATAAATTATTTTAAATTAAAAATAAAATAATGCTGAATAAATTTGGTTAGCTGTAGGCTCAGGACAGATGTAGAACACGCAGTAAAATAAGAGGAAACATTTTGTTGGAGCCCTCTAATTAACCACCCATGAGTACTTCATTGCAGACTAAGATCTCAACAAAATATTTGAGGATGTTGACAGCATGTAAGTCAATCCTTTAAGACATGTATTGTTTCATTGCTCTGAGTACCAGACTTTGAGGACAAAGCATAACAATTGAATAACTATTACTTCTCTAAAAATGGAAAGTAGTACTTCAGGTGCTTTATTGTTAGCAGTTGTCTCCTGCCCTTCATGTTCCATATTCTGTGCAATTCTTCCTAAGGAATTTATCTTTGATAAGTTTGATTTAGTAACTTCCCAACATCAGTTATGAGAGTGTCTCACATTCTTAGTGAATTCTTTTGTGCTTCCTTTATGACAGTTGTTCACCACCATATGTATGCTTATTGATCACCATCACAATAAGCATACATATAAAGAGTAGAGAGTAAGGATGATAACCTTCATGGAGATATACAGGAACCATTGTCTAAGCAAAAGGGCTGAAGCATTTTTAAAGCCACAACAAGTTAACATTCGGAAGTAGCTCAGACACACACCTCCCTAATTCACTGAACTATAAGAAGGAGAATGAAGAGGTACAGCACAATCAGATTTGTAGAATTCTGTTATTATAGCCAATCTCAGTAAAAGTAGTTTTAGCCTTCCTGCTCTGGATCTACCTAGTCATGGAAAAGCACATTAAAAAAAAAAAAAGCAAGTAGTCTAATATGGATTTGATTCAGTAAGATTTGTACACAAGAAAGAAGTAGAGGCAGATTGTACTGTTAAATGAGTAATTAATGATAGGAATCCAGAAGAAAAGGCTTATTTAGAATAATCAAGGGTCTCCAATTCGAATGTTTATCAAATACAAACCAATGTTCAGTATAAGTTCATAGTAAACAGATATATTGAAGGGAGCTGACAATAGTTTAAAAAGTATGTGATAACAGCCTGAAAAAGTAATGATTAGAAAGGCACCAAGCTGTATCTGGTAAAACTTTTGTATGTTTTGTTGGTTTTCATTTAAATGTTATAAAGAGTATTTTTATTTAAATTAATGTATATGCTCTCAGGATTGAAGATGTATCTATTTTTTTGTTGCCCAGAAAAGAAAGAAATTGTGGAGGAAAAGGTAACCCTAAATGGAAACTTAAATAATCCAGTACAGCATGTGTATTCTTGGTGATGTTGGATATTCCTGTTCCAGCATGCTGCGACATCTGTATTGTATGTGCTTGGGTGTGCCCTGAGAAATCTTTTCATTTCCTGCTAACTACTACATTAACAATGTGGATATAATAGTTAAATTGTTAGCTAGAAATATTCTTCTTTGCAGTGTCATGTTTTTTAACAGAAAAGAATCTACCACACTTTTCGTT